TTTCCTTTGATGATAAGTAAGCTCGTTCAGAGAAAAAGCTAGCAACACGTTTATTTGATTCCGCCATTTTAATTTTACCAACTAATGTGTAGTTTCTGTTGTGAGTTCTGATTGGGTGATGCAAAAGACCCGAAGTGAATCTTTATAACCGTTTAAGGGCATGCGACATACAGTAAATCGTGGTGAAATCTGCCAAGGGTTAATGTTGAGGCTTCAACCGAATAAATGCTCCTTTGCTGGCAAAGATGTACTCCATTATGCTCATTATATTTTCATATTCATCTGGAATGGACGTGAGAAACATTCAAACTGTTGTAACTTCTCTACATATTGGCAAATTTTAGATTTAACATTTTTCTATTTTTTAGGTGGCTTTAAATCTAGCTTACCTTGCTTTCAAAATTACAATATATGTAAATTTTGCAGACCAATCTGTCTAAACATCACACATATTAAAACATACATAAATAGTAAAAATATAAATTGAAATTATTTATAAAATTTGATACTCACTTTAAAAATTGAAAGTTTTCATAAAAAGTTAAAGCAAGGTGAGTTGAGTTAAGCTCCGATTGTATTGTATATGACAACTAGTAACATTTAAATTCACAATAACAATATGTGTAACGCTCATATTAATAAATAATGCTTTTTATGACATGGAAACTTGAAAAATTACAAAACCTAAAATGTTTTATAAATGCTTTCATTTAGAAAAAAATATGTGCTTCAATTTTCAGAAATCTGCTCCTAAACTCTTTTTTTTACTACAGGAATCTACTTTGGAAGGTTTTTGTTCTATTCTGGCAACCAGCCAACAATGTTGGTTACAGTGTACGGAGGAATCTGACAGGTTGCTGGAGGCCTACAATGACCTGGTGATCACACTCATTAATTATGCTAATTTACCAACTGAAAAGACCAATGAAGATGAAGGTATGTAATCATTACCTTATATGGTAGTAGTGTATGCTAATTTACCAACAGAGAAGACCAATGAAGATGAAGGTATGTAATAATTACCTTATATGGTTGTAGTTTATGCTAATTTACCAACTGAAAAGACCAATGAAGATGAAGGTATGTAATAATTACCTTATATGGTAGTAGTGTATGCTAATTTACCAACAGAAAAGACCAATGAAGATGAAGGTATGTAATAATTACCTTATATGGCAGTAGTGTATGCTAATTTACCAACAGAAAAGACCAATGAAGATGAAGGTATGTAATAATTACCTTATATGGCAATAGTGTATAGATACACAAATGATTACTTTGTATGATAATGATGTGTAAATATTCAAATGATCACCTCATATCGTAGTGCTGTATAGATATGCAAATTATTACCTTATATGGTATTGCAGTGAAATGGTTAACACATGTATTATTCTTGATTTACGCAAACTATGACCTCATATGGCAGTGGTGCATATATATAAGCAAATGATTACCTTATAAGGTAGTGGTATGTAGATATGCAAATGATTACCTTATATGGTAGTGGTATGTAGATATGCAAATGATTATCTTATAAGGTATTGGCATGTAGATATGCAAATAATTACCTTATAAGGTAGTGGTATGTAAATATGCAAATGATTACCTGATAAGGTAGTGGTGTGTAGATGTGCAAATGATCACCTTATACGGTAGTGGTATGTAAATATGCAAATGATTACCTTATAAGGTATTGGCATATATATATGCAAATGATTACCTTATAAGGTATTGGCATGTATATATGCAAATGATTACCTTATAAGGTAGTGGTATGTAAATATGCAAATGAATACCTTATAAGGTAGTGGTATGTAGATATGCAAATGATTACCTTATAAGGTAGTGGCATGTAGATATGCAAATGATTACCTTATAAGGTATTGGCATGTATATATGCAAATGATTACCTTATAAGGTAGTGGTATGTAAATATGCAAATGATTACTTTATAAGGTAGTGGTATGTAAATATGCAAATGATTACCTTATAAGGTAGTGGTATGTAGATATGCAAATGATAACCTTATAAGGTAGTGGTATGTAAATATGCAAATGATTACCTTATAAGGTAGTGGTATGTAAATATGCAAATGATTACCTTATAAGGTAGTGGTATGTAGATATGCAAATGATTACCTTATAAGGTAGTGGTATGTAGATATGCAAATGATTACCTTATAAAGTAGTGGTATGTAGATATGCAAATGATTACCTTATAAGGTAGTGGTATGTAGATATGCAAATGATTACCTTATAAGGTAGTGGTATGTAGATATGCAAATTATTACCTTATAAGGTAGTGGTATGTAAATATGCAAATGATTACCTTATAAGGTAGTGGTGTGTAAATATGTTACTCGATTTATGTTAATATTTTTTTTCCTTCCCAGTTGATACAGAGGATCTCATTAAATACATTCCAAATAAAGCATCCTTTGTTTTCAAGACGTTTACTGTCGTACTCAATCACCTATGTGCGCTTTCTGATGATGATGAACAGTTACATTTTAATAAGAGTTTTATTCGTACAAATGCTGCTGACTTTATGATACTGAGTGCCAGACATGCTGAAATCCATCACTGGAGTAATGAAATCACAAGACAACAATCATTAGGTAAAGACTGCAGGTCTCATGCCACTAATTTAAATGCCCAGCAAGAACCAATGAAATTTTTTAAATATTATTTTTCTCAGGTGCTCCCTGTTTGAGGGCGTAATCACCTGGGTCAGAGGTGAGACCAACATGTGGTCTTTTGTTTACTACTTAGCGGCTGTGTACCTGTGGGTTTATTCTGTGTGTTAATGGATGTTCTAATCTTGGTGTTTTTCCAGTGATTTCTCTTGGTGCAATCCAAATACAGTAGGTGTGTCTTGTTTACCTGAGATTTGCAAGAGTTTGAGCTGGCCAACATGTTATTTTTTTTTCATATGGTTGATTACTGGCATGTTGATTTCCCATTTTTGAGCCATATTTTCAACTTTCTTCGTCATTTTTATATAGCAATCTCGTCATATGTTAACATTGTCGTCTATGGAAATTCAATTTGTGGTATGA